TTCCCTGGGGCTCTTGGAGGAGGGTTAGGCCCTAATGTCTACCCATGCATTTAGGACTTGCCAGCCTCCACAATTGTGTGAGCCATTTCCTTGAAATAAATCACTTTTCTCTATTTATGCATACACTTCACTGGTTTCGGTCCTCTAAAGAACCCAACAGCAACAAATAAAACAAACCCACTGCCATCAAGTCAATTCTGACTCTGCTCCATAGGGTTTTCTTGGCTGTAATCTTTACAGAAGAAACAGGCCTTTCTTCTGTAGTGTCACAAGGAGGGTTTGAACCACCAACCTTTAGATTAGCAGCTGAGCTCAAACAGTTTGTATCACCCAGGGACCTTGGACTTGCCCCACTGCCCTGAAATGCAAACCATAAGATAAATCATAGGTCATTTTCTGCTTGGGTAGGTATTTTAAAAATCAGATTCCCTTTTTGTCAATACTGAGCTGGAGCTGTGTACTCTGGGAATGGGAGTTTGACTGGGGGAGAAGGGCCGTATCATTCGGAACCTGGGACACCCGGGCAGATGGCTCTGGAGAGAGGGGCTGTGGATCAAGCATGAGATTGGGGGTCAACCTGAGGGTAAGCACTGGGCCCTGGAGATTAAAAAAAAAAAAAAAAAAAAGCCCTGGAAAGTGTCAGAGGAGCCAGGTAGGGAGGTGGGAGAGTGCCAAGAACAAACTTCATCTCCTTAGGGACTTTGTGATGGGCTTATCCTTATCTATTCATTAAAAAATTATTGATGACCCCTTAGGAGACAGGCACTTCTAACAGGCACTAGGGGATGTAGGGTGGGATAAGGAAAAGCATGAATAAGACCTGGTCTCTCTTCCTGGGGAACTTGCAGCCAAGGGGCATGAACCATAGGCAAGAATGACTCTACTGTAGAGTTGAAGGCAATTGGAACCATGAGAAAGTTACCAAAAATGCTTGGGAGAGGTTACATCCAGCATGGGTTAGGGGTCGTGATGAGTGGAGAAGGCATCATGGAAGAGGTAGCCCTTGAAGGACAAATATCTTAACATGTAGAGTTGGGAGCTGAAGGGCATTTCTAGTGGAGAAGATAAGGAGGGCAAAGGCAGGGAGATGGGAAATCAAGAAGGCTGCATGGAAAAGAAGTACTAGTTCATCAGCATGGGGCCAGTGGTGGTTAGAATTCTCTTCCAAGTGGGAGACCTGGGTTCGACTCCCAGCCAACGCACCTCATGCACAGACACCACTCTTGCATGTTGCTGAACAGATTTCAGTGGGAATTTCCAGACTAAGACAGCGTGGGACCACCATGACTGAACCAACAGTCAAAGTTAATTTGCACCCATCTGCTTGGCATTTGAGAGATCACTTGAAGAAACTTGAAGAGTGTTTTTCTCTATGTGGAGAATTTTCTGTATTTTTTTTTCCCTAGTGACTAGATTGTATCTTTGTAAGTATAAAACAACAACAACAACAACAATTTAACTTGAGGTCAAGTTGGTGAGACCCTTGCATTGTCAAGCTACTTTTGGTTTTGTTCTGTGGACAAAGTCATCATTTGCCCCCTATCCATTCCTCTCCTCTGGTCTGTACGTTCCTGATGAAACTTGAACCTCTTCATTCTGAGAGCTATGTTGAATGCCCCACCTGTTCTTGAATTAAGAAACAAAGTTGTAAGAAAGAATGTCCAAGAAATAGTTTATTCTGAACAAGGAAAGCCAACTTGAACAGACCCAGCATCTCCAGTGTGTCTGGGGCCACTTCTAGTGTCTGCTCTCTGCCTCAGGAACTCAGCCCAGGAAGCAGTGTCCATTGTTGCTGTGAGAGTCACAGTGAGGAGGGGAGCAGCCCCATTCTTTCCTGGAGGGGGACAGGAGGGTGCCAACAAGGAGCTGAAGACTCTGAATAGTGTGCAAAACAAGTAGACTACATGGGCAACACAATCTAGAAATAGCCTTGGTTCAAAGGACAGGAAAAAAAAATGACCGTTTCTTTTTTTGTAAAAAATTGTATGAAACCACACCGGACATTAAATTGTCTCCTAAGAAACCCAAGAGAGGATATTGACAGGCCAAAGGCTTGATTTAGCACGTGAAAGTGGGAAATGGATGTTGGATGAGATCATGAAAACACAACTGAGCTTTAACAGGGATATGCAGGTATCAAGTAAAATGGAGGGTCAGCAAAAATGACAGGCCCCTCCATGAGATGGGGTGACACAGTGGCCATGACAATGAACTCACACATAGCAATGGTCACAAAGATGTGTGGGACCAGGCAATGTGTTGTTGTCTTATCCATTAGGTCACCATAAGTTAGGGCCGATTTGATGGTGGCTAACTAAAACAGCAATGGCTGTCAGAGATACCAAGCAGCCAAGTTAAAAGAATCTGAAACCTCAGGTTTGTTTCTCCAGAAACTGACCTGCCGAGTGCATGAAATAGGAACGTTTCTCCAAATGATAATGATGATGATGATGATGACGATGACAAAAAATGGCTACTATTCAACTCGTCCTCCCTGTGTGCTGCCTGTGCTGCATACAGGATTTATTTAACCCTATAACAGCCAGGCAAGTTTATTTTTATCATCCCCATTTAAAACGAGGGCACGGATACTCAGAGTGATTATGGGACTTGGCTACAATTTTCTGGTTAGCAAATGAAAGGGCTAGACCCTGAACCCAAGCATGACTCCATAGTCTAAGCTGTAATGCCTACCACACACACACACACACACACACACAAACCAAGCCTGTAGCTGTCGAGTCGATTACATCTCATAGCGACCCTATATGGGTCCTACACCACAGCATCTCCAAATTCAACGGTAAACAGTTTGCTGAACAGATGATAAAGTAGTTTGGTTTTTGTCTGAACCCACTTTCCTCCTAGAATAAACTTCCTAACCACCCATGATTCCTAAGTCATAAATGTGGAAGCCCCTTATCAACATCAGTTGACGCTCAGTGAGACGATGCTCGGGGGTTGACCGTATGACCTTTCGAGGAAGGACAGCTTGGGAGCTTGAAGGAGATCTAGGATTCTGTTGCAGGACTGGGTTTCGGGGGAACTTTGATGGCACTCTCATGACCAGTGACCTGGTGTACATCTGAACTGGCAGATGGGTGCCATTCCAATGCCCGGGGGAGGTTGGCAGAGTACGGGCTGCTGAAATAAAAAGGCCAGTGAATGTGAAGAGAGGAGGAGAGTGTCTGCAGCACCAAGACGTTGGGGACCAGGTTGGTCTGCACTCTGCACCATCTTGGAAGGTCATGAAGACTGTGCTGTGGCAGAGAACACCAGTGGGAACACTTAGGTTTTGGTAGCAAGTCTGTGAAAACGAGGGAAGCCCTCCATGAGATGAGTTGACACAACAGCTTTGACAATGGACTCAAACATACCAAGGATGCTGATGACGGAGCAGGAAGGGCCAACATTTCGTTCTGTTATGTACAAGGTCAACAAGATTCGACTCGATGGCAGCTAACAGCAGTAGGTTTTACATCAGGATTCGGGATTGGTGTTTTCACAGGAGGGGCAAATATATCGAATGTTTATTTTGGTGTCAGGGCTGCATTTTTTGAAAGCATCATGTAACAAGCTAAGAAGAACCAAATTGTAAAGTTGTGATGATCTCATTGCTTTGGGGAAATGGGTTTGTGTTGTGCTTCCTTCCAATTTTAAGGTTATATTTTGCATTTATAAACAACTTCATAAATGTCAAAGGTTTTGCATGTCTGCTATCCAATTGGATTCTAACAGGAATCCTGGAATTTGATTTGGGGCTGAGAGCTGTTGAACCCCTTTGGACAGATGCAGAGAACTGAGGCTCAGAGAGGGCATGACTTGTTCCAGGTCAAACAGGAAATCAGTGGGGGAGTGGTGGTGGCTGGGACCAGAACTCAGGCTTCCCAGCTCTCAGCCCAGGGCTCTCTCTGCCTCAGGTGCTGTCAGGGGTGGGATGGGAACCATCACGGCACAGGAAGGGGGTCTCGGTGGGCAGGGCAGAGCTGTGTGCAGTCCAGGTCGGGCAGCGGCAGATGGTGAATTAGCTGCTGCAGCCCCGGGAGCAGGTGTGGGTGAGGATGTTGTTGTTACACCCGTCCTGGAGCTTGTCCTGGGCCTGGCTGCCTGCTCGGTCATCAGTGGCTGTGAGCTGGCCATTCTGGCTCTGTTGCCTCCTCAGCCTGCAGACAAGCACAGCACAGAGTTAGTGCCCCAGAGCCAGGTGCAGTGGGAGGCCCAGGAAATACACCTGGGCATGCAGAGTGATTGAGGACCTGCAGCCCAAATCTCCACCTGGCCTGCAGAAGCACAAAGACCGATGGCTTTGGAGAGATGCACTCTGGAACCAGACAGACCTGAGTTCCAAGCCAAGCTCAGCCACAAAAGAGCTGCTGGGTGAGTTACGTAACATCACAGAGCCTCAGTTTCTCTGTGAAATGCAAGTAATAACTCTTACCGCATGCAGTCCTTGAGATGTTTACTGAAGACCATCTGTGTAACACTCACATAGCTCATAAAGGTAATGATTCCCATACATCATTCATTCAGTGGCTCTGCACTGAATACCCACTAATGCATCAGCCACCATGCTGGTTCAGTGGCAGCATTCTCACCTTCCATGCGGGAGAGCTGGGTTCGATTCCTGGTCAATGCACCTCATCTATCAGTGGAGGCCTGTGTGTTGACAGGATGCTGGCAAGGTTTCAGCAGAGTTTTCAGACTAAGACAGACCAGGAGGAAAGGCTGGGGGCTCTACTTCTGAGAACCAGCCAACAGAAACTCCATGGATCTTAATGGTCCCATCCACAAGGGATCAAGGAGGTGGTGCAGGACCGGGCGGTGTTTCTTTCTCTTGTGCATGGGGGCGCCACGTGTTGGGGTCGACCTGATGGCCGCTCAACCACCACACATGGAATATGGAAGCTGGGAGGCTCGTGCAGGTCTAGGCAGGTGATGCTTGTGACATAAGTTCTCCAACTGCTGGGCATCAGAACGACCACAGTGGTTTAAAGCACATGTTCTTCCCAGGCCTACTCCCTCCCTTTGGATTCCAAAGACACAGACTAGGGCATGGACGCTCTGAGTGGGGGGAAGAACAGGAATTGAGTTGCTAGCAGTTTGGGGGGGCGAGGAGTCAGAATTCTGGACGCTGGCAGGGCCATGCCCCCTCTCAGTTGTCTCTACAGAAAGACCTGTCCTTTCTCTTCTTTGGTTTCTGATGCTCCTGGTGTTCGTTGGCTTATGGCTGCATCACTCCAATCTCTGCCTCCATCTTCCCCTGGGTGTGACTCTGCCTCCACATCTGTTCTTCTCTTTTACAAGGGGTCACCGAGAAGGCATCAGGATTAGACTCTGTCCTACCCCAGGATGACTGTTAACCTTAACTGATAACATTTCAAAGAAAAACTCTGTCTCCCCAAACAAGGTCAGTCACTCGTGCAGAGTTAGGACTTTGCCTTAATGTCCTGGGGTGGCCATAACAAAACACCACAAAGGGGGTGCCTTTAAAGAACAGACACTTATTTTCTCATGGTCTGGAGGCTGAAAGTCCAAATCAGTGTCTCGACCATGCGATTCCTTCCCTGGGTCCCCTCTGGTTTCTGGTGGCTGCAGGCAATCCTGCTGCTTCTAGACGCATCTGCTCCCATTGTCACTTGGTGTCTCCCCAAGTCCCTGAGTGTCCGTCACTCTGTGTTCCTTTCTGTAAGGCATCACTCAGAAGTGATCAGATTTAGAAGCTGCTTTATACCGGTATGCCTTCTGTGGTGCTTATGTTTGTGTGTCAGCTTGGCTGGGCCTGGTTAGGTGGCTGGGCAGCTGGTGGTAGTTATTCCCCATGATGAGACTGGCAGTCAACTCCATGGTGGGATCTACCACAAGCAGCTGAGTAGCTGCCTTTGGGATGTGGTCTGCTTCCTGTATATAAGGGGAAGCCTTGGGAATGGTCTCTAGCCTATGGCACGCTTGGACCCTGCATGTAGCCGTGTCATTGTTCAGCAACCTGCCATGCTCTGCCAACTTTGGGACTTACAATGAACTTGAATTAGTGGCCTTCCATGTGGTTTGGTAACATTGAGACTGTGTCTTTTTACTTGTCAACCTTGGGCTTGTCAGGCTCAGCAGCCAGCAGGTGTCTGAGTGAAGAAATGCCTCTAGCTCCAGTGGGCCAGGAGCAGGATGCAGAGTTGGACCCCAAGGTTGAGGGGCTTTCACTCAGCCCCTCGGGCTTGGCACTTTGAACTTGGACTTAAAGCTTCCGAACTGTAAGAGAATAAACTCCTCTTTGTTAAGGTCATCCCGTTTGTGGCATATTCCTGTCAGAGTGGCACTGGGGAACCAGAACACCCTCAATGTAATAAAAACTAAAACCCCACTGTCATTGAGTCAATTCCCGCCCATAGTGACCCTAGAGGACAGAGCAGAACTGTCCTAGAGGGTTTCCACGGCTGTGAATCTTCATGGAAGGCGACTGCCTCATCTTTCTCCCACCAGAGTGGCTGCTGTGTCCTAACTGCTCTCCTTTTGGTCAACAGCCAAATGCCTTAACCACGTGCCACCAGAGCTCCCTCACAGAACAGAAGGAACCCTTTGTTCCCAAACAGGATCCCGTTCACAGGTACAGGGGTTAGGGCTTCAGCGTCTTTTCTGGGGGCACATCTCAACCCCCAGTCACCGCCCAGGGGTTCTGCTCAGCACTCCTGTCTGTGGCCACGGCTGTTGTTGGTAACCGCCCTTGAGTCACTGGCTCCGCACACAGTGGAACTACATGCTGCACCATCCCCGTAATTGGCTCCTGGTTGGACCACTGTGGCCCATAGGGTTTTCACGGGCTGATTTTCAGAAGGAGATCAGCAGCCCTTTCTTCCCAGGCTTAGACTGGAAGCGCCGCTGAAACCCGTTTAGTGTCCTAGCCACACGTGTCTCTGCTGACAGACAGATGGATGCTGTGTGTGAAGCACACTGGCCAGAAGTTGAAGCCATGTCCCCACACGGAAAGTGTGAATTCTTCCACCGAAACCCACGGCCTCCATGGGTCATGGTCTCCCGGGGTTCTGTCTTTTTCTTTGCATATGCTGTTCCCTCGACTCCAGTGGTCTGGAAATGACTTCCAGCCTCTTTCTTTGTTTTGCCAATCCTGAGTAGCTGAGGAAGACTCTCAATGAGAAGGATGGACAGAGTGGCTGCCACAGTGGGCTCAGGTATAGCAAGGATCGTGAGGCTGGCACAGGACCACGCGGTGTTTCGTTCTGTTGTACACGGGGTTGCTATGAGTCTGAGCCGACTCGACGGCACCTAACAACAATAGCTGAGCCAAACTCACTTCAAAATCCATGACTGCAGATGTCAAAAAGGGTCCATGGCCTGCCTGGGCAATCCTATTACATTTCCCTGATCAGTTACATTTCCACAGGAGAAAAATAACATGTAATTGGTTAAAGCCTCTATAGGCAGGCAGACACAACCCCTAAATGGCATAAGGATGGGTCTCGTTTTCTTTCACAAGGAAATGCACCCAAACCGTTGGGCTCGGAGAACCCAGACTGAGCACCCCGTGGCACGCAGTGAAGCGTGAGATGGGATGGCTGTCTGCTGGAGTCACCTGTGCAGAGCCTTTCACAGGCTCCTGGCTGCCTGCAGACGCCTGCTGGGACGCCTCGGTCCCTGGCCAAGTGACGGAGGGCCTGCGACAAGGCCGATGGAGCCCGCCGGCCCTGATGGCTCGAACCTCCCACGCTGCTTTGTGCCGAGTCCCAGGGACAGAGTTTCTCAGACTGGGGAGAGACCAGGAGCCTCAGGCAGCACAGGCGTGGGGAAATTGTGATGGGCTCGAGCCTGGTGCCCTGACCCCCAAGTTCATGGGTGCAGGCCCCTTCCCACTCTGCTGACACTGCAGAAGCCCAAGGAGACGTGGTACTGAGTGGTGAGGTGTCCAAGCCGGGTGCGAGTGTCCAGACTGACCCAGGCACCCACAGGCTCTTAGGGCTGCAGCCCCCAGGACACCTGGCAGGCTGCTGTTCCCTTCACTGTCCCCAGTGGCCCAGTGGTACCGGGGTCTTGCTCCGCACTCCAGCGTGCTGACTGGGACCCAGACAGCCCTCCCCATCCTAGACCCTCACCTCTCCCACTCTGCCTGCACGTCTGCTGTGGTCACCTGCCCAGATGCAGGGCCCCATGTCTGCTACGCCACTGCACAGACTGGAGCACTCTATCTGCTCCTGGGCCTCGCGCCCTTCTAGACTTCACTGGCTCCTCCCTGTTCTCAGGTCCACCTGCCCGCAGAGGGCACAGCGCTGCACAGGGACCTTCTCCAACCACACAGCTGCTCCTGGGGCTACTATCATCAGCTCTCTGCCAAGAATAGCCAAACCTTGATGGCTTCCTGAGGGTCAGCCTGGCATTTACCCCTCTGGCCCTCCTGGAGGGTGGGGCACGTATCAGATTGGTCTCTGCCAGCGAGGGCCTGGCTTGGTTCTTGTGGGCCAAGGGGAACCAACCCACGGGCAGTTTCACTTGCAGGAGCTGAGCTGCTGCCCTCTGGAAGCCAGTCCCGTCCAAGCCCCATCTCTGACAGACCATGACCCTCAGGGATGAGTGTTGGCTCGGGCCAAACCAGAACCTCTGCTTCCTTCGCTGACCAGCCCCGTAACCCAGCAGACCCCAGCTGAGCCCTTCCCAGACTCAGCAATGCCCCATCCCGACCAGCCCTGATGATGGTGTCACAGCACACCCCGTCCCACCTTCCCCAAGGAACTAATAGTAACACTTATCCTTTCCACTGACTGCGTAATCCCGCCATGCCAGGCATTCTGTCAACAGAAAGTCTTACAGCCACCACCTCGCTGGGGAGTTATTATGTCCATTTTGCAGGTATGTAAACTGAGGCTCAGTGACATAACTCACCTAAAGTCCTTCCGGCAGCAGCAGAGCCAGAACTTGAACCCAAGTGACGCTGCCCTGGACCCCACGCCCTCACTCCACCATCTATGATCTCCACTCTCCTTGCCAGCGTCCCTGCGCCAGCTTGGTGCCTTCATCCCCATTTTCAGATGGACTCCAAGGCCAGAACCTCACCCAGGCCTTGCTTCTGAGTCGGAATCAGAACACAGGTCTGTGTGACTCCAAAGCCAGGCGCTCGGACCCTTCCAGGGCCCTGCATCTCACCCTACTGACACCACCAGCCTCCAGTGCCTTTCAGCGTCACTGGCTGGTCACTTCGGGAGCCAGAGGCTGTGGTCTTCCCTAGGGGGTCTCATTCACATTAGGATGGCTCTGCCGAGCGGGGAGGGGCACTTACTTCTCTCTGTTGAATATGGTGAACTCCTTCCGCACGGTCTCCAGACACTGCTGCAGGTGGCCATTCTGTCCAAGAGCAGAGGGGGGATTGCGAGTGATGAACAGGGTCCGGGGAGACATGACAAAGGAGCAGCAGTGAGTGGCAGATCTGTTGCTGAGAGGGACAGGCTAAGTGGCTGGAGCAAGCCCTGAGGACATGAAGCACTGTGTCCCAGGGGAGCCTGGCAGACAAAGATGTTTGTTCTCTATTTTAAGCCATTAAATAGAACTTCAGGGAAGTCCCTGGACAGTGGAACCAGGTGACTGAAAATGTGGTTTAATTTTCTGCAAACAATTTATGTTTTCAGTGCAAGTCCCCCAGCCAAGCATCCCATGCCCCCGGCTCATGGTTCAGGAGTCTCTCTGCTGGGTACCATTTTGGTCCCACCAGACTCAGAGGACTTGGCTGTTTGAGATGGGGAGTTCTTGGGTCACACTTTAGTTAACCAGCTCTGCAATGGGCCCCTGGGTGTTGCAAACCATTAACACACTTGACTGCTAACCACAGGGTTGGAGGTCTGAGTCCACCCAGCGACACCTCGGAAGAAAGGCCTGGAGACCAATTCCTGAACAATCAGCCACGGAAGACCCCACAGAGCCCAGTCCCGCCGACACACAGGGGCATCGTACATCAGGGCAGACTCCATGGCAACGGGGTTGTTGGTAAACACGGCTGCAAAGCCACGTCACATGCAGTAAAAATGAAAGCCCACTGCCACTGCCACTGCCATTCAACGTGCCCTAGGAGACAGAGTAGAACTGGCCCATAGGGTTTCCAAGGCTGTCAATCTTTACAGAGGCCGACTGTCTCATTTTCCTTCCTCAGGGCAGCTGATGGGTTGGTACTACCCAACCTTCAGTTAGCAGACAAGGGCTTGAACCACTGCACCACCAGGGCTCCTTCCTAGATAAAATATGGACTGAACTGAGGAGTGTGGTCTGCTGATCTTTTGAAGATTCATCAGATCGCATTAGGAAACATGGGGCAAGACACATTCAAGACCAATAAGCAAAGCTGCTCCCGGATTCTCCTGAAGAGCAGGTGCCATGAAGCTGCGCTCATCACGGGTGCTCTGTGACGCTGCCCTAGAGATGCCTGTACGTCGCCGTGCACGCAAGCATGCTTCCCTATTCCACCGCTGATATCAGTGGATGCCCAGGTGTCTCTGGGCCAACTTATCCACTGGGCTGGTGGGCACGGGGCCAGGGCCCAGGAGATTTCATGGGCCACGAAGTGGTCTTCATCTCTTCTCAGGCCAGAAGAAAAATGAACTTTTAGGGTCCAAGGTGATATTTCGTTATATTCATCTTTTTATCAGTGCGGTCATAAAATATAATTATATATACACACACACATATACACAAATATGCAAGGAGCTCTGACAGTGTAGTGGGTAAGTCATCATTTGGCTGCTAACCAGAAGGTCAGCAGTTCAAGCCCACCAGCTACTCCACGGAATGAAGATGAGGCAATGTAATTGTGTAAGATTTACAGCCTTGGAAACCCAATGGGGCTGCTATGAGTCTGAATCCATTTGACGGTTCTAGATGGAATATGAACTGGTGACAGTGTGTTTGGTTTTGGTTATATATTTATAAAGGAAGGGTCTGTGAAGGTAAAGTGCCCAGGACCCATACAAGTGATGCCACCCCGGGCATTTGCTGATATAAGGGCTTTCCAAAGGATCCACTGGTTTGTGCCAAACCCACTGCCATCGAATTGATTCTGACTCACAGCGTCCCTAGAGGACTGAGTAGAACTGCCCCACCAGGTTTCCAAGACACTCATCTTCATGGAAGCAGAGTGTCACATCTTTCTCCTGCAGAGCAGCTGCTGGTTTGAACCTCTGACCTTTTGGTTAGTAACCGAATGCTTTAACCATCATGCCACCAGAGCTCCTTGGGACTGCTTAGCACAGCATTAACATAACTAAAAAAAAAAAAAAAAAAAAAAAAAAAAAAAACGCCTTACACTCACTGCCATCAAGTCAATTCCAACTCACAGAGATCCCCCACTTGGTTTCCAAGGCTGTAAATCTTTATGGAAATAGACTGCCTCGTCTTTCTCCTGCAGAGTGGCTGATGGGTTCAAACCACCAGCCTTCTGGTTAGCAGCCAAATGCCTTAAGCACTACGCCAGCAGAGCTCCTCTGTAATCGGTGCTGTTCCTCTCCACTCTTGCTTCAAGAGCTACAGGAGGTTCAGGACTAATATAAATCCTAGGCCTGCAGATGCCTGTGGCTCTTGGTAGCCGCTGCGGAGCTGGCCCCTGACTCTTGGTGAGCCCACACACAAGGGAATGAAACAGGGCCTCTGCGCCATCCCCGTGGGCATTGGTGGATCAGACAGTTGCGACCCACAGGGTTTGCACGGATCAATTTTCAAGAGCAGATCACCAGGCTTCTCTTCCTAGTCTCTTTGTCTGGAAGCTCCACCGAAACCCATACACACATCATAGGAACATGCCTCCACTGACAGACGGGTGGATGCCCATATCGACAGTCATTTCTTTAGAGTACCTTCCTATGAAAGACCCTTTCTTTTTTGATGGGGGCACTTTTTTTTTTTAACTGCAAATGAAAGTATTTGGAAAGGCATCATGGATGCCCTGTCTGGCTAAAGCTATCCCAGCTCAGTTATTCTCTTAGGAGTAAAAACCCAGCTCCTCCCTGTCTGCTCTGGAGAAGTGCTCACCAGAGGACAGCTGTCCTTGGCACCATCTCGGGATCTGTTCTTGGCCAACCTCTTCTTCTTTTTGTGAAGTGGCTTGGATTCTAGGATCATCTCTTCGAGTTCAAACGTAGGGTCACAATTCAATCTCCCTTTCTGAAGACAAGTGGAAAAGAAAACATGGTTTGTGTATATTCCATTTCTCACTGAATTTTCTTCTCATTTGCTCATTCATCCATCCATTCATTCAGCAAATAACGACTGACTACTATTCAAGGAGTCTGACTGCAGGCTGGAATCCTATGTGTGATGGCTCAGGTCTGACCATAAACAATGACAAAGGCTTTCTGTGGCTGCCCTCCCCAGACCAGACCAGGTGCACAGTCTGGAGGGAGCTGGAATCAGGGACTCAGACCCTCAGCTGGCCATGCTCTTATATCTACATTCATAGTTTTAATGGATTGAAATGTGTCCCACCAAAATACACCTATGGGTGTGATGTAATGTAATCACCTTCCATAATATAATGTAATGTAGGGACCCTCTGTAATGTAATTTAGTGTGATGTAATGGGATGTATCACTTTCCATAATGTAGTACAATGTAACATGATGTAATCACTTTCCAGAATGCAACCTAATGTAATGTGATCAATCACTTGAGGTTATACCAGTGTAGGGTGGATTCTAAACCTAAATGCCTCTGAATGATTAAAAAAAAAAAAAATCAGATTAGACAGCAGACATGGGCATGAATGGGGAGAGAGAGACACCATGTGAGGATTGCCAAGAACTCCAGGGCTACCACAAGGAAGGGAGGAGTCGACACAGCTGAGACCCTGGCTTGGGCTTTTAGTCTCCAGAGCTGTGAGAATAAATCTCTGCTCCTGAAAGCCGTCCACACATGGTACGTGTTACAGCAGCCCTAGGAGACTAAGCCATTCAGAGGCCTCCTTGCTGGGGGGCACTTATTGGAGGCCATTCCTCAGTACTTGTGCTGGGAGTTCCTTGTGGGGGAACCTGAAGACACCCTTCTCTAGTCTGACTTAGTGCTCAGTACTTTTCCACTTCCAGCCCTTCTCTGGCCCTCAGGTCCATATAATGACCAAACCAACCACCCTGTTGCTGTCCAGCCGATTCTGACTCAAGGTGACCACATGCTTTTCTAGAGCAGAGCTGCTCCCTAGGGCTTTCCTTGCTGTGATCCGTACATTACAGAAGCAGATCTAGAGGCCTTACTTCCAGCGTCCCATGGGTGGGGGGTGGTTCTGAACCAACCTTTCGGTTAATAGTTGAGTTCAAACTGCTTTCACCACCAGGGACCTCCTAAGATCACAGGATGCTAGTCCCCAAAGGCAATACGGACTAGTGGTTATACATTCAATAGGCCTAGAGTCCCATATTCATAAGGTTTTCCCTGGCCAATTCTTTGAGAAGTGGACGGCCTCTTCCTTCTTCCTAGTCTGTCTCAGTCTATAA